TTTCCTCATACTTCCTTTTACATTAATCATTCGGCAGTAGCTAAGCATGATTATTGATTCAATATATTTTTCGAAAATTATATCGATGTATTCCGCTAGAAATCATGCATGATGGCTGCTGGCAACTACGCAGTTTTTTATACTCTAACAGCATGACAGCTGATGTAAGTAGGTGGGAAGTAAAGAAAAAAGTAGTTGTAGCTGCCGGTTCCTTTTATGTATAAAAGTCGATAATATGTATATTTCTCCACTACAAAAATATTTAATATTATTTCGTTCCTTTGCTATTATCAAATGTAAGTATGAAACACGAAGCAAAACTATGCATGGATTAGCAATAGTTTCTTGAATTGACACCAATAGTCTGCACATTTTCTTAGAATTTACTTTAAGTGCATACTTGAGCGAAATAAAATCACTTCTTCCTATCAAGTTTTCTATTTCAGCGGATCAAAATGTCACAGTATTGCTTCGCCATCTATGCTGCTATTGCCATCCTATTTGTACTTTCAAGCTCACAAAAAGAAGCAGCGGCTAAACCAGTAATCCTGTCAGCAGATTCATCACAACCAATCATCGAAGGAAAAGCTAGCTTGAGCCTTGCCCAATGTACGGCTGCCTGCAGAGCTGGTGTAACGGCCATGGAAGCATTTTGTCGTGTGGTTCCACATCCTGCTACAAAAGCTCTATGCTGGGCGGTGACACTATATGCTGGCACGCCAAGTGTTGCTGCATGCACTGGATTCTGCTATAATAATTTTTAAGAAGATGAAACTCTCAATACATGCTGTTTCTGACTATTTATTTCTCATATACTTATCCGTTTATTCTTGTTTCATTTAAAAATAAACTAAATTCTTCATTTTATAAAAGACTGATCAGGAGCACGTCATTATTACCAACTTTTTTGCATAAACGGTTGATAATAGCTGTTCTTTTTTACTACCCATTTCAATTTTTTTTCTCGTGCACCAGCAGTTCATCGATAGAGCAGAACGAAAAAATATATTGAACTGAAAAACCGATAAATTACAGAAACGCAAAAAAATTGTTCCGCCGTGTTTGATGATAATTCCAGTCGAAATGCTGAAAACTGACACAATTTTTGAGCATTAGACTATGAATGTAACAGAAAAAAGATCCAAACTTACTTGTAACCCATAGGGTATGCAGGAGAAAAAAAGAATACAAAAAATGCGAAGCAAATGAATCAAGCGAAGGAGAATGGACACAATAGCACAAAAATAGATTAATCATGACTGATGATTCTATAAATTTTGCCCGACATAAAAATGAAGGAAAGGAAAACTATCGAAACGTAAATATGTTGAAAATTAAAAATATTAATAAATTCGAAAGTTTAAAGCTAGAATTGTTGAAAGGTATTGGTTCCAAAAATTATTCATGAATATGTAATTAGCAAATGATTAAAGCTGAATTGTGTTTTTGTAAATTTGTCATCGATTGATTACATCATTTGTCACCCAGTACAGCGAAATGGATAGGATTTACTCTCATCCACCCTTTAAACTGAGTAAATCGAAAAGCTTACTGTTAAAATTTATTTTTCGATGAAAGACTCATCGTGAGCCATAGTTATTTCAGTTTACTGCATCAAGATCAATATTAATGTTTGATCTTTGTTTTGGTTTGATTCGTTTATTTAGGTAAAACATGGCGCTGATGAAATTTTATTAAAGATCTTTAATATTGGCAATGACTGTTACGATTTGAGTTAGGTGAAGATTGTATTTAGTTTTCTTAAAATAAATATAATTTACAGAGTTAAAGAACAAAATTTGTTGATAAGGTACAACAATTCTTTTGGGATTTGAATAATTTTATTAAAAATACCAGGAATCTATAAAAATCTGATGAATTCTGAATAATAGACATTCAAGCATGTTAAAAAATGAATTCACTTTCAACTATGACAAGTTTTCATAAATTGATAAACATGTGTATGCAGATGTCTAGTATGCAACTCTCTATTCTCGATCCTATTTTGTCCTACATTATTCTCGTGTAAATACCTGGAGAAATTTCGATGGAAATTCTCAAAAAATTTAGAAAAAAATTATTCGTCGATTTACTGAGAACTTATTGAGAGGTTTCATAAGGGTGTGGGTGTGGGTGTATTCTCTTCATTAAGATTCACACCCACCCACACACCCACATCTTTTATTGAACTGAAATATATGCAGAAATCTTTCGTTGTTGACTTTTTTAGGCAAATGATTTTTATGCGATATAATTTATTCGATTGAAATATGTTTCGAAAAATACTTGAACATATCGTTTATAGAATTGAAAGATGAATATTTTTTGAATAAAAAGCAAGTTTGAACAAATAATAAGTCAGATATCAAAAAAGCACTTCAAGGTTCATTAATAATTAATCATTCGTCATATCTTATATAAGTTGTTTTCTTTATAATCATGTTCTGAAACTTTGACAATAATAGAAACCTTTTTGTACATAGTTCCATAATACCTATAGGTATACATGCTATTATTATTTCAGTAAAATAATAAAAAAAGGAAATTTGTTTTTGTTCAATACCACAACCTTGATTACACAAATTATTCATTTATTCGATGAAAATCATATCTAGAGTTCTATACAAAACATTTTATAAAAGTGTTAAACTGGTACAATACAACTTTCAAATCATATTGATATAATTTGTCGACTAGTGCTTTTGTCATCATAAATATATTTGTTTTTTTTTTCTAAACACTTATTCATATATATAGGAAATCAATAAAAATCTTAATTTTGATGAACAAATTCTTGATACAGTTAAATCTAGAATGGATGCGCAGCTATTGCATTAACTACAACAGTAACATTAGCTCAAAAATGACTTGTTGCTGAAAGAAAAGTAAGTTTTACAATTTATACTTTTTTCTTATTGCTTCATTGATTATTATAACTAGAAATAAATGAACAAAATAAAAATAATGATAATTAGATATAATTTAAGGATAAAAGCATATTTTAGAAACACATTAATATGTTTCTTTATCAAAACTCTTTTCTTTCATTCTTTTAACCGGTATCATGTCATTATTGATGCTATTTATTTCAATCAGAAGATTGCATTTTAAATGTGGCTCAATTATTACTTCCTTGTCTAGTAGAATACTCAATTTTGACAACAAATAAATATTTCTTCATGATTTTCGGCAAGTAGATGCAGATGGTGTGGATGTGGACCCTCTCTGTATTCCCACCCCATGCTGAATTTCCATAGCCCGAAAGAAATTTTTCACTTCAATGTAATTCAACTACTCGATTAAAATGTTTTTTTTTTCGAGCCAATCCTTTTCAATCTGTAAATTTTTGCAAACTTTATCCAATTCAGTTCAAAGTAGTTTGTAGATTTTTCAAAATGTTTCCGTGAATGGAATTGAATTGAATTGAATTGTCTTGCTCTGCGACTATCTAATTTTTTCTGTACATGAATTTCTTCAAATTTAATCTGAACTCTTCATCTTTACTTTTAAAGTTCATCGGTCAACAAGATATTATTCTTTGTGACGGAAAACTTCTTTTCCTTTGATATTGTTCCTTGACTTTACGTCTATTCCGTACATATACAAATACTATGACTATTCATTAAATATTTTTTCTTAGAAGGAAAAAGATCCTTGGCTTTTATCATAGTGGGTATGAGTCTTACCTCCACTCACGCTCACACCACTTAACCACACACCCTTCTTGTAGACTGATACTTGATGATGTATTAAGTAATGCAATTACTAATATTGATTGTATTGAATATTAAATGCAGAATCTATATAAATCTGAATTATTTTATAATTTTTTTCCGTGATGGACTCTTTTTTTTCTACGGAACCAAAAAAGGTTCTCTCCATACATACAAGGGAAGAATCTTTTAGGTTTCGTAAAGAACTTTTTTCGTCTTAGAGTGTACTGCTTTCTGACTTTTCGCTTTCTTAAAAAATTGATTCAATTATGTGCCTCTATGGATCGAACTATTGTCCAAACAAAATTGTCATAAAGTGACGCATCTATCTCACACTGTTTTGAAGAAAACTTTAGCAAACGATCAGCAATTTTCTGAAAGTAAAAAATGAATCTCGATTATAATTGAATAATAGAAAATTGAAATAAACTGTAGAGAATAAATGAAAAACATAATGAAGTAGAATATAGATGTTCTCTCATAGAGAACATTTGATACAAGAGCGTATGTCTGTCAATGTCTTGCTCGACATGATTGATTTTGACATTAGTACAAATACACTACCACATGCTGCACTTATTAACTCGACTATTGCCTTGACCTGGCTTGCAGCCAAAAGCTTTATCGAACTCGACAAAATTCGATGTAGGACCAAGTACTCTAAAAAAACAAAAAGTATGTATGATAGTGCAGGGAGATGTATAAAAGAAACTCTGCCTGAATTGAGATGGTGAGTGTGTATCTATTAGCATATAAGTGTTCGCAGTTTGATCTGTCATTTTCGCACACCATATGTGACCAAAACTGAGAAAGAACATTTGTTCTGCTGAATATTTGGCTAGACCTGGTAGCTTCTTGTCAACATTTTTATGAGTCTTAGCCCACTGTTGATACGCCTTGAAAATATACAAGTTTAAAATTCGAATCAGTGAATGATAAAACTCACAAAGAAAGCTTGTTTTAATCCAGCATTGTCAGCAATGTTTTCACTACATGTTTTTTCACTATTCACCTGGACGAAAAAGATTTATTTACCTCACGAACTGAAACTGATAGAAAGAAAAACCTGATGATTGACTTGAGTCCAAGTGTAATTATTGTACTGTTCGATAATACATTTCTTACGTTCGTGAAACACTTCGATAGTGTAATTGGTCCACCAGGAAACTTTGTTTCCATCCATGTCATACTTCTGACCGTCATCATCAAAGCCGTGTGCAATCTCATGTCCTATGAAAAAGCCAATGCCTAAATTAAGTACCATTTTTGTGTTTCTTTCTTCGAACTGAAGCCATCCTTACCGCCATAGTTGAGATACCTTTCAAGTACATAAAATATATTTTGATATGAGAAAATGACTTGTTACTTGGGTGCATCTTTGTCATACAAGGGTGTTTGAAGAAAAGCAGCTGGAAAAGCTAAAGAGAAACTAAGATATAATATTTTATTGTCACTATGCATTTCGTACTGATATCATTTAATGATAGGTAATGCATGGCATTGACATATGTGGGCGTAATACCGACCCATTTCTTCCTATCGACTGGGTCACGAAGGGCACGAAGATCTTTTTTCGAATGTAGTTGAATTAAACTCAAAACGTTTTGCATAAAAGATGAATTGACTTTATACTACGTAGATTTGAAACAAAAAAGAAGAAGAAATGGTAACAAGAATAGATTATCATTTTATATTACACCTCAGCATAGTCCTCCTCAAGTTTCACCACATCATCATTCTCCAAATAATCAGGATAACCAATTTTTTCGTTCATAGCTCGAGCCTGTATAAAAAGCAGTTTTATTCCCAGTTGGAGATTGGTCCACTGATTACCCTACTTTTTTAATCATCGCAGCTTTTGATTCCGAATCGATCCATATCGATTGATTAATCATGTTGATGAATACATTTCGAATAGTGTTGATCATTTCAAGTACCTATCAAAGAGTGAGAGACAGAGACTTCATATCAAGGACATATTATTGTCAGTACCTCTTTCTTAGCATTCTTATCAAAATATTCATTGATATAGATTTTGGAGATCGCCAAGC